CTTTTAAGATGGTGATTACGCCCTTGCTTCCAATGATTATTTTCTGAGAGTTTCATCGAAAAAAATATTGACTGGGATATTTTGCTAACGCTGCAGACAAACGAGAAGACACAGAAACGCCTTCAACACACTATTGCCCTTTTGCCTTCAGCAGTTTGTGATAAAGATGAGGAAAAAGTATATATGTTGACATTCTGAGCTTGTTCTAACTTGCCTGGTCGCTTCATAAAACCAGCTGTTCAGGATGTCCTGGAGTCAATTCAGTGTCTGAATCAAACGTAAACAGCAGGAGTAAAAGAAAACAAACCTTCTGGGAGTGATGTGCAACCGGTAGCTGTGGAGTTGTGTGTTTGATCTGGAGCAGTGGGGCTGATGGTGGTGAAGATAAAACTATTGTCATGCACAGACCACACAGACAAGCAGGCTGCAGGACACAGACAGAGAGAGACACCTCTGATGTCTTTAATCGGGACGACTTGTCTTTCAAATCTGCCGTGAAGAAGACAAGGGGTTTTCTTCAGGAATGCTCACAGCAGGATGACCGGTTCAGGGAGGGAACCGTCAAAGAATCGTTACCCTGATTGCTRAGAATGTGAAAAATGCTATCTTTCAGCTGCAAAACAAAGTTAAAATACTGCTGGGCTGCTAGGCTGTTTTTTTTTTTTTTAAATCTTCAGTATCGTCTTTATTTTCAGAAACTGAACTCAGGTGTTGGACGATCAGCATCTCAGTTTTCAACAAGAAAAATKATGTCAGTTTTAGACCGGAAAAAACAAACAAAAGCCGAGATGTTTCAGATCCACTGTGGTCAGAAGGCTTTTCCAAAACAATACCACTTAAGTACCTCAGAGTACTACACAGACAGTTTGATATTTTTGTATCTGACTGAACACACATTTGAAATCATTTGCCCAACAGATYAATATTCCCCGAACCAGGGCTGGCCAAAAACTATTTTGGTGCCCTAGGCAAGATTTCAGGTGTCCCTCCTTGTTCAGGTTTCCAAATCTCACTCTACACTGCCAAATAGYTTTTATCTTCGATAATATTTTTTACTTTTAGAAACAAGGTTGTTCAACTAAAATAATTAATATTACTTTGAAACAGAACACTGGAAGTCTGCCTCATGCCAACTTCTGCTGACAGCAACGAGGAACACCTGCTCATGTTAACCAGCAGTTGTGGACTGAAGCAGTTCTAGGAGGGTCCAGTGTTATACTCCCCCTGAAAATTTTGTAAAAGATCTACTCAAAATAGCCTTTTCCAGCCATTTGAAGATAATTTTACTACATTCTTGGGATTAATAAAACAACATAAAATCAGTATTTTACAGTGTTGCATAAAGTACCACAAGGTGATACTTGAGTAAAAGTACAAGTATGTTACCTAAAAATTACTTTGGTAAAAGTTAAAGTCTCCTTTAGGAATATTACTTGAATAAAAGTATTAAAGTATCTGATGTATTTTGTACTTAAG